ATCCTCCCTGAAGCTCAATATTATGTTTTATCATCCTGTTTTATTTTATTATACCCTTTAATGCAGAGAACCTGCATTAAGGATCCTAGAAGTTTGATGTCTGATAACATTAATGAACTTCTTAAAACAAATTTATCATCAAACATCAACATCTCAAATTCAGCTCTTGGTCTTCCTTTCTTTTATCAGACATTTTATAGCTTTTTTGGTTTATATTGACAGAGTGGCTTTAGAATTAATTTCCAGGATTTTTCAAATATTTTAATACACAATGAAGTGGCACACGTGTGTCAAGACTGTATCCTGTTGAAGGTAGCACATTCTGGACTATACCATTCCAAAAGAAAGGTTTATCAACTTAAACATAAAGGATCCCAAAGCCAATCAACAAAATTCTTTACATAATACTTATGAAACTACAAGGTAATAATAATATTTTGAACAAAACGTACCAGCCCCATTAAAAGTAACCAAATACTGAATTTGTGTTGCTGCAACTACTTAAAACCTGCCGTCATATGATATAGGTTGTTTTACAAAAAACAAAATTATTATACCATCTACAATTGTCTACTTATGTCACTCAAAAGAACGGCTGAATCTCGGAACTCCCAATTCAGAACAGCGCGCATAATCGTTACTGTCTGTGCTATTCGTCGTCAAAATTCAGTGGTAGTCTCATTGGAATACGGCATAACACCTCATGTCTGACAGAAAAGGCCTTGGAATATCTTGAGAAAAAAAAATTAAATAGGAGCAGACTAAAGTAGTATCGCAGTTGAAACTCAAATTATACAAACCACACACTAAAAGAAACAAATATTAAATTAAAAGTTTTCATTCCTAGCCATTCCCTTCAAATTCAATATCGTACATAAACAGAGTTCATAATTTAACCCATTTGCAATTAATATGAATTATCATACCAGGTAAAGATTATACCAACTGCAGTTAAAAAAAAATGAAACAAAAAAAGTATAAAATCTAATACTATGTTACAAAGAGACATCTTCGTATAATGTCTCTCTCTCCAAAATAAATTTCTCATACAGAACTATCATTTGTACCTCTGCCTACTTTACCCACTCCCCTCTAACATTTAATTTGTATAAAAACTATATCATGGTACCTTTAATTTGAGATTTTATGATGGAATGTTGTCCCGCGCCATAGCCGCGTGGTCTGAGGCATCATGCTTCGGACCGGCGATACGGAATGCGCGCTGGTTCGAGTCTCGGGGAAAGAATTTTCTCATAAGATTTCGACCAGTGTATGGGACCGGTGCCAACCCAGCATCGTGAGGAAATTGGGGAGCTACAATAAGTAGCGTAATCCGGTCAGGAAAACTAGCAATGGCTGGGGGTTCGTCGTGCTGACCACACGTCACCCTATATCTGGTCGGATGATCGTTCACCTCTGCTTAGGCATGTGAACGTGAGGCCGGCAGTCAAGCTAGTTGGCTTTGGCTCTCTGGAGCTGTTACGCCACGGATTTAATTTTATGATGGAATGTTACTGAATTATGAATATGTTGATGAAAGAGGTCACGCTTTATTCCTGATATTTATATTAATTCTCTTTGAAGCAAAGTACTTCTCTGTACCAGAACTAGACTAACTCACTCTTGAGCAACGATGGTAACGAACCTAACGAACTTACTACACTGACGTAAGTAATGAAAAATGGATGGAATAAATGTTTAACATTAACTTACATTGCTTTATGTGCAATAGCGTTACCAGTCTTAGAACTTGTATATGGACGTATCTTTACATGATCTGTAAGAAATGTCCGATCTCTTCATAACGTGTCCGCGCACAAAAGTGTCGGCGTCTCGTGTAGAAAGACCTGTCATTCAGACGTAGACAAAAATCATGGCATGGCAACTAGTAGAAAAAAAATGAAAATTGACAATGGTGATTTAAAGCAAAGCCCTGAGAATAATACAGGGATAACCAGTGATTTATTAAATGCCGACAGTTTTTTTTATACGAGAGAAAGATACTGAAATGCGACGTCACGCGCGCGCGCGTAGAAATGCTGAAAAGGACACTTTGTATTTTTATATTGTTTTCTTTATCATCAATTTTATCAAGTCTTTCTAGCATAACCCACATATTATATGCTAAAGAAGCCATTAATATGTTTTTACTCGCGGCACTCATCTTTTGGAAGCTACAGAACAAGTTACTGTTAATTTTCTGTATTTTCCTCATACGTGCCTTCCCTATTACAAAAATATATATTTCTTAAAAGACCTGTAGGAGTTTACTATCTTGAAACGTGGTATTTAGAACACACCCTGTAGAAATAACATTTGTTTCTCTTCGTTTTAGCTCGACTAATTCTTGCTGCACCAATCTTTGTTCAACCAACGTAGGAGGACGGAAGACTAGCAGTGAGCACATAATATTGATGAAGACGGAAACGAGTTCCTTAAAAAGACGGCAGACCAGTACCCCTGCACCTGAAGGAAAAATGTCAAGGTCAGTCCATCTTAATAATAAAGATAAAAGTGGCAGTAGAAAATATTATATGCAGAAACATTTTATGATTATATATTCATATTTGGACTCTGGTCCACTATGATTCATCCACGTTCAAATAAATTAAACTTTTATATGATCCGATGTCTTCATGGTGACTTAAGTGTAATTAATTCTTCTCAGCCCAAGAAGGATTAAAATTAAACTCTTCATTTTGTCATATTCTGGTCGTAGTACGACGTCGGTCAATAACGGTACCGTAAATATTCTGGGCGAACTCGTCACCTCCTCCTTTAGGTTCACCCCCTAAGACGAGGTTCACACGAATGTGGACCAACTTAATTATTATTGTTGTAGAATAAATGTCGATGCTGGTAAAGGTGGCAGTGGCACTAGTAGAACCACAAGTAATAGGGTCGCAGCTGCCAACATGATTGCGACGTCAACATACGCGCATTCTTACATTTCTTGTTGTGTCAGAACACGCAACTTACCAATATTTACAGTGGAAACTGCCTGAATGATTCTTGAGAAGCGGCATCTATTTTATGGAACTCCGAGTAACGTGTTGGTTCACGTGAGACTGCGAAAACACAAGTTCACAATTATCACCACAAGTTTCACCATTCCGGTACTTACAGCGTAAGAATCCCTTGGGAAAACTAATAAAATATTTACGGTGTGAAACCTCAAATATCATGTTTTTAGGTCAGTCTCCTGCAGGGCTGTGGAGTCGGCACTAAAATCTCTGACTCCGACTCCTTCATGAAAGCTCAATATGTATTATTAATACTAAACCTACTAAAATGGTAAATGGCACCTTAAGAGATTTCATCACCACCAGCCTACTTTTTAGACTTATAACCTATATTTAAACATACGGGGTCCGCAGTGGCCGCGCGGTCTGAGGCGTGGGCCTTGTGCCGCGCGGTCGCTGGGACCGTGGGTTCGAATCCCACTCAAGCCATGGATGTCTGTGTTGTGCTGTCCTGTGTACAAGTAGAGGCCTTGCGACAGGCTGATCCCTCGTCCAACGAGTCCTACCAACTGTCCATAGATCAAGCCAACGAAAAGTTGGGATCCGCAGTGCTCAGGAACTTGAAGAACGGGTCATTCCCAGTATCCCAGTATTTAAATATATGTCTAATGGTTATAGCAGAAATCTGTTGATTTGTGGACAGTTTGTATTCTTAAGGTACCGGAGCAAAAAGTTACAAGGTATCCCACAGGATGTGGCTCAGCACGTCGTTGAATCTCCCCGATAGCGAAAGTGTTCTTAAGATTTTATATCGAGTTCGAAGTAGGAGTCGGTACATTTTTACCAACTCCAACTCCACCTAAAATTGCTTCTGACTCCGACTCCGCAGCCCTCGTCTCCTGGCTACTCACCGTGGTGAAAGTCGCGGTGTCCGTGTGCCTGACAATGCGACTGGTCGTGCCTGTTGTACTGACAGTAGAACTCCTCGCTACAAGCGCCTGTAGCTTCTGTAGTTGACTCAGCAGGGACGCATTATTCTCCTCCAAGCTCTCGATCTTTTTCTTGTAATCCGTGTTTTCACCCGTCAACACCTCGACTTTCCTTTCCAGCGCGTCCATGTACTCTTTCTTCTTCCTTCTGCTCTCTTGAGCTGAAATCTTTAATAAAACAAAGATTTTGGGATCGTCACCGATTTTAGTGATGAGGAAACTGCGTGAGACGCATTACACGTTAAATCAGTTGTTGAATTACGCCGATAGTACAGAAACATCAAAACGCTTCAGAAACCTAAATTTTTACAATGAAATACATCAACTATATTTATTTATGGGTGCATAAATTTCAAAAATTGAAAACCCTCACTCCTTGAGATGTGGCGGTTTGCGAGGTAAATCTGAAATTCAAGGGTTAGTGTAGCGTGCGATGAGATGTACATTATTCCTTACTTTATTCTTTATTTTTCTCCTGATTTTCTTTAAAGATTTTTCTTCAGATTTCGTGAGAGGCAATCTCGTAGGAATGGGGTAACCTTCAGCGAGTAGTGTTCTTTTTTCTTCTTCAGTCAGCAACAGCATTCCTGTTGATCCTTTCTGTAACATCAAACACAAAATTTTAAACAGGAAACCTCGAGGAAAAAGACCACCGAAGACGTAGGTGCAGATCGGAGGACAAAGCTGACAAATCAGATACAGCGGAATCAGGATAATATTGTAATGAACATTTCAAGGTCATAAAAGGCAGGGAATTCTGTGACCATCTCAGACACTGCAAGGTCCACGAATAGGACTACACTTCAACCGCTACAAGCTGCTTGTAATGGTCACCCAAATGCCAAGTTCTTTTCCCATATCTGTATAATTTCTGCTGGCTAGTAAAACTTTGGGTGTCCGCAGTGGCCGCGCGGTCTGAGGCGTGGGGTCTTGTGCCGCTTGGTCACTGGGACCGTGGGTTCGAATCCCACTCAAGCCATGGATGTCTTTTCTGTGTCGTGCTGTCCTGTAAATAGGTAGAGGCCTTGCGACGAGCCGATCCCTCGTCCAAGGAGTCCCACCGAATGCCCATAGATGAATCTAACGAAAAGTTGGGACCCGCAGTGCTCAGGAACTTGAAGAACGGGTCGTTCCCAGTTAAATTTCATCAAACTCATCAACCACAATTAACCTTTTACTTACTGGTTGATTGCTAATGAGTGGTGTCTGTATTGGCTGCCTGCTAGACGCCGATGGTGTTGAATTGTTGGAGGGTACAAACAGCCTTGTTGTGCCATTTTGCTGATGTTGTTGTCGCACGTGTCTGCTCGGTGAAGAAGGATTATGGTCTGGAGAAAGGTTCCCTTCACTGTCACTTGTTGTTGATGACGGTGGCGTCGGAGGCAGAGAGAAACCTGTACATGTCAAAACAACATAACATTTCTCTTTTGAAATCAGGAATGCACTAGCTCTAAACAAAACTTAAATTTATAAAAATAAATTCAGAAAACTAAATATGTTTTTATGACACTAAATTGGAAACTGCGGGTCCTGAAATAAAGATATGAAGGACTGTATGGACAGGGTAACAGTTCTGGTGCGCCATCTGTCTTAGTATCTCTGTATTTTTCAACAATTTTTTGTGTTCTTGCATGAACAGAATAGGATAGAATCTTACCTGCGGTTCCATTTGGTTCCAACTTGATGTTTAGCTTTGGTATGACGACTCTGTTCTGTTGAGCAAACAGGTTGCCCCGTGTCGTAAGCAAAATTGTTGATTGCTTTAATAAACTCTGCTGACTTCCGGTCTGAAACAGAAAGATTGTGCGTTATGAGCGGAATCTGTGACCTCGGGGTAAATCGTAATCAGGTGCTGTAATATTCCCTGCCGTTCACATACGACTAAATTAAAATAATGAATTATTATTCCAACGAGAAGCACGGAGAACATTTATACATAACCTCAAAAAATTATTATGTTTAAAGGAAGAGATCTTATAATATAAAAACTGCTTTGAAGTATAGGTCATGAGAAATGCAATGATGATAATATAAAATGAGATATATTTAAGGAGTCTGTGCAACTATAAACACGTATTAGTAGATAAACGCCAAAATAAAATTACATGCAGTAGCAGATACGATACGTATGAAGTGATCGATCATAAACATATCGAAGAAGAACTAGGAACAACATAAATAAACAATAAAATGGCTAGAATATTTGAAAATAAGGCGTAAGAACGCCAAAGCTGAATTCTGCAAGACACCTGGAACACGTGACAAATAAAGTTGGAAGGGACACTTATTCTGTGACGGCGATAATGATAAAAAGCCCAGATTTGAGTAAACTTTACAGATGACAACTCTTCCTGCATGTTTCACACTTCATTTTTTTTTTTAAAAAAAGTGGTAAAACTCCAGACTTGTATTCGAGAGGCACGTACTTTTAATATCAGCCAAGATACTGGGGCTCTGCGTAGAACAAATGAAATAAGTACAATACGCCAGTCACAATGTAAGACCAAAATCCATTTTTTTTTCCTGTAATTAATAATGAATGGATCTCGAATGTCTCTCTGACCTTGGGCTGATCCATTGTGACATCCGTTTGCATTAGAGACGGTGGTGACGAAGGGGACATCGGACATGAATCTGGAGATCCAGGTTCACTCATCGGCTCCTCCTTTACTATAACTGGAGAATCGGATTCTCTGGAATGTCTGGTCGCGGTGCTGAGCGGAATGCATGGAAAGCACTCATTATCCATATCTGGAACACAAAAGAGTTATTCTAATATTTTTTACCTCGGTTCAGGTCATTAATTATGTTAAGTAGATGTATAAGTGAAGATGACAATGCTCTGGGATGTTATAGAAGTTTCCACTGTTTCAGAAGCTCATGCCGCCTCCATCGTCAGTGTTTTTAAAAATCGGTAAACTTCTTCCAGACTATGATAGAGTGTGAAAAAGGCCTATGAAAGCTCCTCTGATAATTTATTGTAGATTTATCAATTATGGATCGTGGAGGATTATAAAACTGATAAAGATTTTACTCTCAATGCATAAACAATAACGTCACATGTTCCTTCAAATAAATTATATTCTGTGCACGTTACATGTAAATGACTCCACGAAGCACAGCCCCTCTCGAGAAGCTAACAGCTGATCAAGAAATTCCTCGCCTTTAACGAAACTTGAAAGTTCATTACTGAGATCCCATCCCACCTTAATGACCCATTTAAATATTATCCTCCCATCTATGTCTAGGTCTTCCAAGTGGTCTCTTCCCTTCAGGTTTTATTTTGGTTTATTTCTGTGAAATTTTCATGTGTCTCGTGGTGAAGCGTGAATTATGAAGCTCTCTCTCTTTAGCTAGTTCAGAACATTATTCTCAGCGCCCCGTTCTCAAACACCTTCGGCTTTTGTTCTTCCCGTGGGGTCTGAGACCAATTTTTCACAATCATACAAAACAACAGCACGTAAAATTAGAGTCTTGTATATTTTATTTAAACCGCCACGGTGGTCTAGTGGTCAGAACGCTGGCCTTGTAATCCTGGGGTCCCGGGTTCAATTCCCGGCGGTGCCCGAATTTATAACTTGTGTTGGGCAAGGTCGTGGTCTAGGCAACACGGAGTTTTCCTCCGTGGCATCCCAACAATTACTCCATTCACACACAGAAGAAGGCAATGGCAAACCACTTCTGGATCATCTGCCAAGAACGTATATGAACAGGTCCCAGTCCGAGAAAAGGATGGAAGGATCCTGTTCATATGGACCTGTCGTCAGACAGAACACTAAATAAATATTTTATTTATTCTTTATGTGTTTTTTTTTAAAAATAAGGCGGGAAGACGAGATTCTGAACACTCGAAATTTCGTTATGCCTACAAAGTTGTGTACGGCATAGAAATTCTTATTCATGCCGTCATAATGTCCAGTGGTGAAAGTGGGTTTACTTATACAGCGAAGGGCAAATACTGGTATATCTAAAACTGATAAGCTAAATATTAGGTTATGAGGGGTGGGGGGACTTGCTGATAACGCTGTAAATGGTGTTACTTAATCTGACATGACGTGTAACGCTAAGCAACAAAGAACCAGGGCAATTCGAATGTCCTGACAGTCAATCACAACTGCCATGTGTAGGAATAATAATTTGTGTGAAGGTTATCAATTGAACAGCAGGCACTAATGGCTGGCCTCTCGGGCCACTAAGCCTGATATATATATTTTGAAAGCCCAGCATGAATCAACTAGACTTGAAACATGTACTCCAATCAGGCCGTTGGACTGGCCCATACAGTCGTCTTTCAGGATCGAATTTTTAAGTCCTTGTCCAACTGGGTGGTGCCCAGAGTTCTAAAATTTGTTTTCGAAGTGCACGGTATTCCATTCAAGCCAAATTACACGTTCTTCCTAAGTGTATCTTGCAATTTTTCTATTCTCGTTCGTCTGTCATGCACGCAAATCACAAATTATCTTCGTATTACGAAAATTTTTTCACCAAATCAAGAAATTATAAAGGTAAAAGCTGTATATATTAACGGCATATATCCCTGTTGACAAAACTGAACCCCGAAAAAAGCCCCAGACGCACATACAAATTTAAATTTTTCTCTGGGACAGATATCTTTTCCGTTTAATATATTTTGAATAAATTTAATATTTGAACAGGAAAGTAACATCTCACACACTTGTAACACTACCTTCAATTTCAGCTGAGGAAAGCAGCTTGGGATTACACAGAGCTCGAACTCAAAAATCATTAATCTAACGCCTTATCGGTGTCGAAACTTCAAATTCTCGCAACCCTCATCATTAATGTAGAAACTCTTTTCACGCTCCAGAACTTCGTGCCCCCCCCCCCCCCCCCAACTTTCGGCGAATAAATTCTCTCATTAAAGATGCGCACCTTTATCGATTTTATAGATCATCAACCAAATCTGATTATTAGTGACCTAAATGCAAATTATAAACCCCAGACGATAAGGTATAAAGTCTCTGAAGCACGAATTTCATCTGAATAATATTTAAGCATTCAGTCCGTACCGCGAAGAAAACACCACACTTCACCATTACAGAGATCAACTGATTAACGCTATTTAGGGGAATGATCGCTGCTTAATTTGAGAATCATACGAAACTCCATTCTGTGGATAAGATGCAGAGTTAATTAATGTTAAAGTAGGTGACTGAACTACCACTGAGCAGGGAAAAATAACACGTAGGAGACCAAGGCGAAGAT